ACGATTAGATGCACTTTATTTATTAGTTTATATATCGTCGTAGTTTAAATATTTTAATAGAATTATAAATATTTAAAATTTTTTATTAAAAAATAAATCAGATCAAGGTGTAGTTTATAATAAAGAAGAAATGGGTTACAATAAATTTATTTTAAAATAATTTTTGTTAAAAAAATTTGAATTTGGATTTGAGAGTAATTTTTTAGATTTTTTTAAGATGATTAAAGCTCTAAAATATGTACATATCGCCCGTCGCTTTCATTTTAAAATGAAATAAGTCGTAACAAAGTAGATGTACTGGAAAGTGTCTCTAGAAAGACAAGTTAGAGCTTGATAGAAGTATTTTATTTACATTAAAAAGTTAGTTGTGAAATTCAATTTAACTTGAAGATTTATTTTTATAAAAATTTAAGTATTTTAATTAAAAAATTTAAAATAAGTAAATTTTTGTTTTATATTTTTAAAGAAAAAATTTTTTTTATGATAGTTTAATAGTATTGTGAAAGAATAAATAATTTAGTTTTAAGAAAAATTAATTTTTTGTACCTTGTGTATCAGGGTTTACTAAAATAATTAATTATTATTGTTTCGAATTTAAAAGAGTTAAAAATTTATTTTTTTTGTTATATTATATTTTAATAAATTTTTGGTAATAAATGTTATTCGTTTTTAAATATCTCTAATTTTTTAGAAAATTTAATTTTAATACTAATACGTCACCCCTCTCCTTAATCGTTTTTTTTTTTTTCTCTTTTATCTCTTCGGGATCGCTTCCTCATCTTTTTCTTCTTTCCTCTGTCTTCCCTTTCCTTTGTCCTTCCCGTTTCTCATCCTCCTGCACCTGTTCTCCTTTCTTTCTCCTTCCCTCTTCTTTGTCTCTTCTTTCACCCTTTTTTCTTCCTCCTCCTTCCCCTTTTTCCCTTGTCCTACTGGTCCCCTTCTCTCCTTTTCCTCTCCCTTTCTTTCCCCCTTTCCGCTTCTTCTCCGGCCTTCGGCATTATTTTTTCCCTGTTTCATTTAACAAACATGTCCTATTGCTTTTAATTTTAGGTCTAGCCTGCCCTCTGAGGATTTAAATGGCCGCGGTATTTTGACCGTGCTAAGGTAGCATAATCATTAGTTTCTTAATTAGAAGCTGGAATGAATGGTTGGATAAAAAAATTCTGTCTCTATTTAAAACATTAAAAATTTATTTTTTAGTTAAAAAGCTAAAATTAATTTAAAAGACGAGAAGACCCTATAGAGTTTCATATTTAAAAATTTTAATTTTTTTTTAGTATAAAAATTTTTAATTTTTTGTAATTATTTTAATTGGGGGGATTGAAAAATTAATTGAACTTTTTTTAAATTTAAATCATTAATTTATATACTTGAGCTATTAGTAATAATTGTAAGATTTAATTACCTTAGGGATAACAGCGTAATATTATCAAAGAGTTCTAATCGAAGATAAAGATTGCGACCTCGATGTTGGATTAAATTAATTTTGGTGCAGAAGCTGGAAATATTAGGTCTGTTCGACCTTTAAAATTTTACATGATCTGAGTTTAAACCGGTGTGAGCCAGGTTGGTTTCTATCTTTAATTTAAATTTAATATTTTAGTACGAAAGGATTGAATAAAAAATAATTTTATTAGGAAAAGGGTAAAATTATTATTTTGGCAGAATAGTGCGATAGATTTAGAATCTTTTATATGTAATTTATTTTTACAAATAATACTTGTATTTTAAAGATTTATTAATAATAATATTTTCTAGGTTATTTTATTAATTTTGTGTTTTGATTGGGGTGGCCTTTTTGACTTTATTAGAGCGAAGGTTTGGGTTATATTCATATTCGTAAGGGTCCCAATAAAGTTGGCATATTAGGGTTAGTCCAACCATTTAGAGATGCCATTAAATTATTTACTAAAGAGCAAACTTTTCCTTTAATATCAAATTTTAATTTATATTATTTTTCTCCTGTAATAAATTTTTTTTATCTTATTTTTATGAATTTGTATGCCTTTTTTTTTCTGTTAATTTAAGATTTAATTATCAATATTATTTTTTTTGAGCGTTTCTAGGTTAGGTGTTTACACTTCATATTGGCGGGTTTGGGCTTCTATATTCAAAATTATGCTTTATTGGGAAGTTTACGAGCTGTAGCTCAACCAATTTCGTATGAAGTAAGTTTAGCTTTAATTCTTTTATCATTTTTATATTTAATTTTAAGGCTTAATATATTAGATTTTCTAAAATATCAAATAAAAATTGATTTATTTTTTATTATTACCTTTATCTTTAATATGATTAGTTTCAAGTTTAGCTGAAACTAATCGGATCTTTTGATTTTGCTGAGGGGGAATCTGAGTTAGTGTCTGGATTTAATGTTGAGTATAGAAGAGGAGGTTTGCGATTGATTTTTTAGCTGAATATAGCAGAATTTTATTCATAAGTATACTTTGTTGTATATTATTTCTAGGAGGGGATTATTTTTACTATAATATTTTTTTTAAAATTAGTTTTTATTTCATTTTTTGAATTTGGGTTCGGGGAACTTTACCTCGATTTCGTTATGATAAATTAATATATTTAGCTTGAAAAAGTTATTTATCTGTAGCATTAAATTATTATTATTTTTTTTGGATTAAAATTTATAATTTTTAATTATTTTATTTAATAAAGTTAAATTTTACTTTATATATTTAAATTTTATTTAATAAAAATAAAATTTATAATTTTAGAATAATTTTAAAATTATAAAGTTTTTATTCATTAATTATTTCTTAATAAATAATTTTTAATAAAGTTTTTTATATTACTTGTTAGGGGAATGGCAGGCAAAATAAAATGAAAGCTTTACCAATAATTACTTGTTAGGGGAATGGCAGGTAAAATAAAATGAAAGCTTTACCAAATAATTACTTGCTAGGGGAATGGCAGGTAAAATTGAAAGCTTTACTAATAATTACTTGTTAGGGGAATGGCAGGTAAAATAAAATGAAAGCTTTACCAATAATTACTTGCTAGGGGAATGGCAGGTAAAATAAAATGAAAGCTTTACCAATATACTTGCTAGGGGAATGGCAGTAAAATAAAATGAAAGCTTTACCAATAATTACTTGCTAGGGGAATGGCAGGTAAAAATAAATGAAGCTTTCCAAATTACTTGCTAGGGGAATGGCAGGTAAAATAAAATGAAAGCTTTACCAATAATTACTTGCTAGGGGAATGGCAGGTAAATAAAATGAAAGCTTTACCAATAATTACTTGCTAGGGGAATGGCAGGTAAAATAAAATGAAAGCTTTACCAATAATTACTTGCTAGGGGAATGGCAGGTAAAATAAAAATAAAGCTTTACCAATAATTACTTGCTAGGGGAATGGCAGGTAAAATAAAATGAAAGCTTTACCAATAATTACTTGCTAGGGGAATAGCAGGTAAAATAAAATGAAAGCTTTACCAATAATTACTTGCTAGGGGAATGGCAGGTAAAATAAAATGAAAGCTTTACCAAATAATTACTTGCTAGGGGAATGGCAGGTAAAAAAATGAAAGCTTTACCAATAATTACTTGCTAGGGAATGGCAGGTAAATAAAATGAAAGCTTTACCATAATTACTTGCTAGGGGAATGGCAGGTAAAATAAAAGAAAGCTTTACCAATAATTACTTGCTAGGGGAATGGCAGGTAAAATAAAATGAAAGCTTTACCAATAATTACTTGCTAGGGGAATGGCAGGTAAAATAAAATGAAAGCTTTACCCAATAATTACTTGCTAGGGAATGGCAGGTAAAATAAAATGAAAGCTTTACCATAATTACTTGCTAGGGGAATAGCAGGTAAAATAAAATGAAAGCTTACCAATAATTAATTGCTAGGGGAATGGCAGGTAAAATAAAATGAAAGCTTACCAATAATTACTTGCTAGGGGAATGCAGGTAAAATAAAATGAAAGCTTTACCAATAATTACTTGCTAGGGAATGGCAGGTAAAATAAAATGAAAGCTTTACCAATAATTACTTGCTAGGGGAATAGCAGTAAAATAAAATGAAAGCTTTACCAATAATTACTTGCTAGGGGAATGGCAGGTAAATAAAATGAAAGCTTTACAATAATTACTTGCTAGGGGAAGGCAGGTAAAAAAAATAAAGCTTTACCAATATTACTTGCTAGGGGAATAGCAGGTAAAATAAAATGAAAGCTTTACCAATAATTACTTGCTAGGGAATGGCAGGTAAAATAAAATGAAAGCTTTACCAATATTACTTGTTAGGAATGGCGGTAAAATAAAATGAAAGCTTTACCAATAATTACTTGTTAGGGGAATAGCAGGTAAATAAAATGAAAGCTTTACCAATAATTACTTGTTAGGGGAATGGCAGGTAAAATAAAATGAAAGCGTTACCAATAATTACTTGCTAGGGAATAGCAGGTAAATAAAATGAAAGCTTTACCAATAATTACTGCTAGGGGAATAGCAGGTAAAAAAAATGAAAGCTTTACCAATAATTACTTGTTAGGGAATGGCAGGTAAAATAAAATGAAAGCTTTTACCAATAATTACTTGTTAGGGGAATGGCAGGTAAAATAAAATGAAAGCTTACCAATAATCTTGCTAGGGGAATAGCAGGTAAAATAAAATGAAAGCTTTACCAATAATTACTTGCTAGGGGAATGGCAGGTAAAATAAAATGAAAGCTTTACCAATAATTACTTGCTAGGGGAATAGCAGGTAAAATAAAATGAAAGCTTTACCAATAATTACTTGCTAGGGGAATGGCAGGTAAAATAAAATGAAAGCTGTACCAATAATTACTTGCTAGGGGAATGGCAGGTAAAATAAAATGAAAGCTTTACCAATATACTTGTAGGGGAGGGAATGGCAGGTAAAATAAAATGAAAGCTTTACCAATAATTACTTGCTAGGGGAATGGCAGGTAAAAAAAATGAAAGCTTTACCAATAATTACTTGTAGGGGAATGGCAGGTAAAATAAAATGAAAGCTTTACCAATAATTACTTGGCTAGGGGAATAGCAGGTAAAATAAAATGAAACTTACCAATAATTACTTGCTAGGGGAATAGGCAGGTAAAATAAATGAAAGCTTTACCAATAATTACTTGCTAGGGGAATGGCAGGTAAATTAAATGAAAGCTTTAACAATAATTACTTGTTAGGGGAATGGCAGGTAAAATAAAATGAAAGCTTTACCAATAATTACTTGTTAGGGGAATGCAGGTAAAATAAAATGAAAGCTTTACCAATAATTACTTGCTAGGGGAATGGCAGGTAAATAAAATGAAAGCTTTACAATATTACTTGCTAGGGGAATGGCAGGTAAAATAAAATGAAAGCTTTACCAATAATTACTTGCTAGGGAATGGCAGGTAAAATAAAATGAAAGCTTTACCAATAATTACTTGCTAGGGGAATGGCAGGTAAAATAAAATGAAAGCTTTACCAATAATTACTTGCTAGGGGAAATGCAAGGTCCAATAAAATGAAGCTTTTACCAATAATTACTTGCTAGGGGAATGGCAGGTAAAATAAAATGAAAGCTTTACCAATAATTACTTGTTAGGGGAATGGCAGGTAAAATAAAATGAAAGCTTTACCAATAATTACTTGTTAGGGGAATGGCAGGTAAAATAAAATGAAAGCTTTACCAATAATTACTTGTTAGGGGAATGGCAGGTAAATAAAATGAAAGCTTTACCAATAATTACTTGTTAGGGGAATGGCAGGTAAAATAAATGAAAGCTTTACCAATAATTACTTGTTAGGGGAATGGCAGGTAAAATAAAATGAAAGCTTTACCAATAATTACTTGTTAGGGGAATGGCAGGTAAAATAAAATGAAAGCTTTACCAATAATTACTTGTTAGGGGAATGGCAGGTAAATAAAATGAAAGCTTTACCAATAATTACTTGCTAGGGGAATGGCAGGTAAAATAAAATGAAAGCTTTACCAATAATTACTTGTTAGGGGAATGGCAGGAAAAATGAAACGAAAGCTTTACCAATAATTACTTGCTAGGGGAATGGCAGGTAAAATGAAACGAAAGCTTTACCAATAATTACTTGCTAGGGGAATGGCAGGTAAAATGAAACGAAAGCTTTACCAATAATTACTTGCTAGGGAATGGCAGGTAAAATGAAATGAAAGCTTTACCAATAATTACTTGCTAGGGGAATGGCAGGTAAAATGAAATGAAAGCTTTACCAATAATTACTTGTTAGGGGAATGGCGGGCAAGGTTAAAGTTTATTATAAATTATTCATTAAGAAAATTAAGAAAAAAAATAATTTTTAAAATTATCATAAAAAGAATGGGATAAATATTCAAAAAAAAATCATTTCTAAAATAATTTTGTTAGAAAAATTTCGAAAAATAAAAACTAATTTTAAAAATTATTTAAAAAAATTATTATTCAGTTAAAAATCATTCTTAAAATAATTTTGTTAGAGAAATTTCAAGAAACAAAAACTAATTTTTGAAATTAAGTAAAAAATTATAAGTGGCTGAAATAGTCATTCCTAAAATAATTTTGTTAGAAAAATTTCGAAAAATAAAAAACTAATTTTAAAAATTATTTAAAAAAAATTATTATTTAGTTAAAAATCATTCTTAAAATAATTTTATTAGAAAAATTTCGAAAAATAAAAACTAATTTTAAAAATTATTTAAAAAAAATTATTATTTAGTTAAAAATCATTCCTAAAATAATTTTGTTAGAAAATTTCGAAAAATAAAAACTAATTTTTAAAATTATTTAAAAAAATTATTATTCAGTTAAAAATCATTCCTAAAATAATTTTGTTAGAGAAATTTCAAGAAACAAAAACTAATTTTTGAAATTAAGTAAAAAAATTATAAGTGGCTGAAATAGTCATTCCTAAAATAATTTTGTTAGAAAAATTTCGAAAATAAAAACTAATTTTTAAAATTATTTAAAAAAATTATTATTCAGTTAAAAATCATTCTTAAAATAATTTTGTTAGAGAAATTTCAAGAAACAAAAACTAATTTTTGAAATTAAGTAAAAAAATTATAAGTGGCTGAAATAGTCATTCCTAAAATAATTTTGTTAGAAAAATTTCGAAAAATAAAAACTAATTTTAAAAATTATTTAAAAAAAATTATTATTCAGTTAAAAATCATTCCTAAAATAATTTTGTTAGAGAAATTTCAAGAAACAAAAACTAATTTTTGAAATTAAGTAAAAAAATTATAAGTGGCTGAAATAGTCATTCCTAAAATAATTTTGTTAGAAAAATTTCGAAAAATAAAAACTAATTTTAAAAATTATTTAAAAAAAAAATTATTATTTAGTAAAAAATCATTCCTAAAATAATTTTGTTAGAAAAATTTCGAATAATAAAAACTAATTTTAAAAATTATTTAAAAAAAATTATTATCCAGTTAAAAATCATTCCTAAAATAATTTTGTTAGAAAAATTTCGAATAATAAAACTAATTTTAAAAATTAAAAAAAAATTATTATCCAGTTAAAAACTCATTCCTAAAATAATTTTGTTAGAAAAATTTCGAATAATAAAACTATTTTAAAAATTAAAAAAAAATTATTATTTAGTTAAAAATCATTCCTAAAAATATTTGTTAGAAAAATTTCGAAAAATAACAAACTAATTTTAAAAATTTAAAAAAAACTTATTTAGTTAAAACATTCCTAAAATAATTTTGTTAGAAAAATTTGGAAAATAAAAACTAATTTTAAAAATTATTTAAAAAAATTATTATTTAGTTAAAAATTATTCTAAAATAATTTTGTTAGAAAAATTTCGAATAATAAAACTAATTTTAAAAATTATTTAAAAAAATTATTATTCAGTTAAAAATTTTCCTAAAATAATTTTTAGAAAAATTTCGAAAAATAAAAATTAATTTTAAAAATTAAAAAAAATTTTTTAGTTAAAAATCATTCCTAAAATAATTTTGTTAGAAAAATTTCGAAAAAAAAAACTAATTTTAAAAATTATTTAAAAAAAATTATTATTCAGTTAAAAATCATTCTTAAAATAATTTTGTTAGAGAAATTTCAAGAAACAAAAACTAATTTTGAAATTAAGTAAAAAAATTATAAGTGGCTGAAATAGTCATTCCTAAAATAATTTTGTTAGAAAAATTTCGAAAAATAAAACTAATTTTAAAAATTAAAAAAAATTATTAGTTAAAAATCATTCCTAAAATAATTTTGTTAGAAAAATTTTGGAAAATAAAAACTAATTTTAAAAATTATTTAAAAAAATTATTATTAGTTAAAAATCATTCCTAAAATAATTTTGTTAGAAAAATTTCGAAAATAAAACTAATTTTAAAAATTAAAAAAAAATTATTCAGTTAAAAATCATTCTAAAATAATTTTGTTAGAAAAATTTCGAAAAAAAAACTAATTTTAAAAATTAAAAAAAATTATTTTAGTTAAAAATCATTCCTAAAATAATTTTGTTAGAAAAATTTCGAAAAATAAAAACTAATTTTAAAAATTATTTAAAAAAAATTATTATTCAGTTAAAAATCATTCCTAAAATAATTTGTTAGAGAAAATTTCGAAAAATAAAAATAATTTTAAAAATTATTTAAAAAAAAATTATTATTAGTAAAATATTCCTAAAATAATTTTGTTAGAAAAATTTCGAAAATAAAAATAATTTTAAAAATTATTTAAAAAAAATTATTATTTAGTTAAAAATCATTCCTAAAATAATTTTATTAGAAAAATTTCGAAAATAAAAATTAATTTTAAAAATTAAAAAAAAAATTATTTTAGTTAAAAATCATTCCTAAAATAATTTTGTTAGAAAAATTTCGAAAATAAAACTAATTTTAAAAATTAAAAAAAATTATTTAGTTAAAAATCATTCCTAAAATAATTTTGTTAGAAAAATTTCGAATAATAAAACTAATTTTAAAAATTAAAAAAAAATTATTATTTAGTTAAAAATTTCTAAAATAATTTTGTTAGAAAAATTTCGAAAAAAAAACTAATTTTAAAAATTAAAAAAAAATTATTAGTTAAAATCATTCCTAAAATAATTTTGTTAGAAAAATTTCGAAAAATAAAAACTAATTTTAAAATTATTAAAAAAAATTATTATTTAGTTAAAAATCATTCCTAAAATAATTTTGTTAGAAAAATTTCGAAAAATAAAAACTAATTTTAAAAATTATTTAAAAAAAATTATTATTCAGTTAAAAATCATTCCTAAAATAATTTTGTTAGAAAAATTTCGAAAATAAAACTAATTTTAAAAATATAAAAAAAATTATTTAGTTAAAAATCATTCCTAAAATAATTTTGTTAGAAAAATTTCGAAAAATAAAACTAATTTTAAAAATTATTTAAAAAAATTATTATTCAGTTAAAAATCATTCCTAAAATAATTTTGTTAGAAAAATTTCGAAAAAAAAAACTAATTTTAAATTAAAAAAAAATTATAGTTAAAAATTCCTAAAATAATTTTGTTAGAAAATTTCGAAAAATAAACTAATTTTAAAATTATTAAAAAAAATTATTATTCAGTTAAAAATCATTCCTAAAATAATTTTGTTAGAAAAATTTCGAAAATAAAAATAATTTTAAAAATTAAAAAAAAATTATTTAGTTAAAAATCATTCCTAAAATAATTTTGTTAGAAAATTTCGAAAAAAAAACTAATTTTAAATTATAAAAAAATTATTATGGCTGAAAAGTCATTCCTAAAATAATTTTGTTAGAAAAATTTCGAAAATAAAAAATTTTAAAAATTAAAAAAAATTTTTAGTTAAAAAAATCATTCCTAAAATAATTTTGTTAGAAAATTTCAAAAAAAAAACTAATTTTAAATTATAAAAAAATTATAAGTTAAAAATCATTCCTAAAATAATTTTTAGAAAAATTTCGAAAATAAAAATAATTTAAAAATTAAAAAAAATTTTTAGTTAAAAATCGTTCTTAAAATAATTTTGTTAGAAAATTTCGAAAAAAAAAAACTAATTTTAAATTATAAAAAAATTATAAGTTGAAAATCATTCCTAAAATAATTTTGTTAGAAAAATTTCGAAAATAAAACTAATTTTAAAAATTAAAAAAAAATTATTTAGTTAAAAATCGTTCTAAAATAATTTTGTTAGAGAAATTTCAAGAAACAAAAACTAATTTTTGAAATTAAGTAAAAAAATTATAAGTGGCTGAAATAGTCATTCCTAAAATAATTTTGTTAGAAAAATTTCGAAAAATAAAAACTAATTTTAAAAATTATTTAAAAAAAATTATTATTAGTTAAAAATCATTCCTAAAATAATTTTGTTAGAGAAATTTCAAGAAACAAAAACTAATTTTTGAAATTAAGTAAAAAAATTATAAGTGGCTGAAATAGTCATTCCTAAAATAATTTTGTTAGAAAAATTTCGAAAAATAAAACTAATTTTAAAATTATTAAAAAAAATTATTATTGTTAAAAATCATTCCTAAAATAATTTTGTTAGAGAAATTTCAAGAAACAAAAACTAATTTTGAAATTAAGTAAAAAAAATAAGTGGCTGAAATAGTCATTCCTAAAATAATTTTGTTAGAAAAATTTCGAAAAATAAAAATAATTTTAAAAATTAAAAAAAATTTTTAGTTAAAAACATTCCTAAAATAATTTTGTTAGAAAATTTCGAAAAAAAAACTAATTTTAAATTAAGTAAAAAAATTATATTCTTAAAATCATTCCTAAAATAATTTTGTTAGAAAAATTTCGAAAATAAAACTAATTTTAAAAATTAAAAAAAATTATTTAGTTAAAAATCATTCTAAAATAATTTTGTTAGAGAAATTTCAAGAAACAAAAACTAATTTTTGAAATTAAGTAAAAAAATTATAAGTGGCTGAAATAGTCATTCCTAAAATAATTTTGTTAGAAAAATTTCGAAAATAAAAATTAATTTTAAAATTAAAAAAAATTTTTTAGTTAAAAAAATCATTCAAAATAATTTTGTTAGAAAATTTCGAAAAAAAACTAATTTTAAAATTATAAAAAAAATTATATGAAATAAAATCATTCCTAAAATAATTTTGTTAGAAAAATTTCGAAAATAAAACTAATTTTAAAAATTAAAAAAAAATTATTTAGTTAAAAATCGTCTTAAAATAATTTTGTTAGAGAAATTTCAAGAAACAAAAACTAATTTTTGAAATTAAGTAAAAAATTATAAGTGGCTGAAATAGTCATTCCTAAAATAATTTTGTTAGAAAATTTCGAAAAATAAAAACTAATTTTAAAAATTATTTAAAAAAAATTATTATTAGTTAAAAATTATTCCTAAAATAATTTTGTTAGAGAAATTTCAAGAAACAAAAACTAATTTTTGAAATTAAGTAAAAAAATTATAAGTGGCTGAAATAGTCATTCCTAAAATAATTTTGTTAGAAAAATTTCGAAAAATAAAAACTAATTTTAAAAATTA